GAGGTTGGCCAAAAGTTGGCCAATGGAGCCAACCACAGTCAAGGTTCAGGTCCATACCTACTCATTGGGTGCAATGTAGGCTTGCCAGTCCCCCAGTTTTAGGGAGGATCCCCCACCCCGAAGTTGTGTTGCTTGCCACTGCTCCAAAAAGCAGTTGCATTATGATGACACTTATGGGGGGGGGGGGATGGAAGGGACATAGGGGAGCTCTAGGAATTGCTGGAAACTCTGTGGTTTTACCATTACTGTCAACCGGCTGTCAGCTCTCGACCCAGCAAGTCATGATAAAACTTTCCCATAGTGATATTTTTGGACTCTGTTTTCCTTTCAGTTTTCTCCATATTTTATAGAATGTTATAAGGGACCCTGGAGGTCATCTAGTGCAACACCCTGATTAGCGCAGGGAGGTACGTCTACAGCATCCCTGACAGACAGCCACACACCCTCAGCTGAAACCTCCAGTATGCCCTCAGGCAATCTGTTGCCCTGTTGAACAGCTCTTATGGTTAGGAAATTTATCTTAATGTTTAGCTGAGATCTAAAATAATAATAATTGTGTGTGCTGCTGACTCATGGTGACTCTAGGACCACGGGGTTTCCAAAGCAAAAGGTGGTATGCCATTGCCTTCCTCTTCCTAGCAACCCCAGTCTTCCTTGGTGGTCTCCCATCCAAGTACCAGCCACGGCTGACCCATGCTTAACTTCCAAGCTCTGACAAGATCAGACTAGGCTGGGCTAACAGGCTGCTAGTGTATTCAACAAGCTGCCATTGAATGCATAATGTGTGATGAAAACATCGAATTGAAAGGTCATGTTAAGCTTCGTCCTGGGCTAGGATCCAAATACATCCAATCACATTGCTAACCCAGGAAGCACCCAACCAATCACTTGTCAGCAAGCTCCCTGAGCGGGAACGTCCTGATTGGTCCTTATGCATACAACCTTATTGGTTGGTAAATGTACAGTAGGCGTGGCTACATTAGCCGGGAGCGTTTAAAAGCAGAACAGCTGCAATGTAAAAGCTGTTGTGGCTATCAGATGTTGATCCGTGTTGGAGTTGTGTTTGAGTTGTGGAATAAAGCTGAATCTTTGCTGAATCACTCTCTGACTACTTTGTTAAGCGAGCGACTCAACAGCTAGCTAACAGGTACTTCCTTATAATTTTTATTCATTCATTCTAGTCTTGCCATCTGGATCAAAAGAGGTAAAGTCTTCTCCATCTTCTACAGGACAGCCTTTCAGATATTTGAAGACAACAATTACGTTTTCTCTTCTCCCAGTTAAACATGCCCAGTTCTTTCAACCTTTCCTTACAGAGCTTGGTTTTAAAAATCCTATCCAATAGAAACGTGTGGATCCTCATGCGGATCAAAAAAATCCACACAACGGGGCCACCCAAGGGCTAATTTGTGTGTTCTGTAAAACAGGAGAAACTCCAAGTTTCCCGAAAAACACAGATGACATGATTCATGACAAAATCTGCAATTATTCCTCGAACGATACGTAAAAATAAAAATACTTGAGTTTCGAACCGTTGGGTGATTATTTCACTGCAGACAGAAGCTTCATAGAGCCTTTAGGGAAAGCTCCTATCAGATGACATGTGAGAAGGAGAGAGGGAGGGCAGGAGGCGGCCCCAAAAAGATCACCAGGCTTCAGAAGCCAAAATTGCACCATTCACATTGCCCCATTCCAGCACACTGGTTCTTCCGATACCATCTGCTCCGTTCCCTCACAGGCTCTCCCAGTTCTGAGGTGTTTCAAATCCGTTCCCGCACATTGATAAACGTGTGAGGAACTGGTCCGACCTGATTATGGCTCAATGGCTGTACTTGTCCTATCAGAGGATCTTACTTGCCCAAGATCTAATCTCCCGTTCGTTTACTAGTATTTTTTAAATAACAAGCCGAGAGGAAACCAGCAATTGTTTCTGTTCTGTAGAGACTGAAACATAAGGTGTGTTCCAAACGCTCACTTTTTCAAAGTGTTACACAGAATTAGGATGGGGGAATCGAGATCCACTGTTGTTAGAAGCTACGAGGACTAAATTGAGGCTACCGTACTTTGGTCACAAGATGAGAAGACAAGACTCACTGGAAAAGACAATAATGCTTGAGGAAACTGAAGACATCCGGAAAAGAGGAAGACCCAACATGAGATGGATTGACTCTATAAAGGAATCCACGGCCCTCAGTTTGTAAGATTTTTCCTCAGAAACCTTTCTCTCGCCACCCTTTCGAAGAATCCCCTCAAGCTCTCTCTTCAATAGCCTTTCTAGTCCTTTTTTTGGTCATCCAATCAGCAGTCTCTGTTTCTCTTGACAATCAGCACGCACCTCACCAGCCTCCACCTCTCGCTCTCTTTTTTCCTCCTTCTTACCTCTAAGACACCAACTTTAGGAATATAACTAATGTACACTTAACTTACAAAAACTCTGAGTTGTTAACTAATAAACATTTCAGAAGAAAAGAGCAAGAGTCCAGTAGCACCTGAAAGACTGACAACATTTGTGGCAGGATATGAGCGTCTCTGAGTCACTACTCACTTCTTCAGATACAGTGAAGCTAAAAAATCTCGTCCCCTGCCACAAAGTCTGTTAGTCTTTCAGGTGCTACTGGACTCTTGCTTTTTTCTACTGCTACAGACAGACTAACACGGCTACCCATCGTGAAACATTTCAGAACTCAACAATCATTACAATGAATTTAAAGCCTGTATATTTATTTACTTATTAATTTAGAATATTTCTATGCCACTTCTTCAGAGTCCTGCCTGAGGCAGCTTGCAATTAAAAACCACAGTACAGAACAAAAGCCATTAAACGCTGCAAGCCATTAGACACAAGCGGCATAAAAGCTATCCCAAAAACAGAATAGACCAGGGGTGTCGAACTCATTTGTTACAAGGGCCGGATCGGACATAAATGAGACCTTGTTAGGCCGGGCCATGTGTGTCATAAAATGTAATGCCAGGTAGCGGAGATATAAACTTTATAAAGGACACAGACATAAACGGGTTTTTTAACTTAAAATAAAAACATGCTTAAAACATTAGCTCTGTAAGCTGCAAACCTACTTTTGATTTATTGACATTCACCACAGAAATCTCATGCTCAGAGTTCTGAGTCTAGGAATCAGGTTAAAACATGAAACGGCTGAGTGATTAAGTGAGTATGGCGAAGCAAGCTATGATGCAGCTGCAGAACTGGAAGCAGGAGATGGCCAGTTCCACTGCGGGCCTGATGGAAGCCCTCCGGGGGCCTGATGTGGCCCCCGGGCCGCATGTTTGACACCCCTGGAGTAGACTATGAAAAAGTTGATAGAATATGTGTTGCCTTTATATGGCGCCTTTCTGTCTGGCCTCCAACACAGCTTCAAATATGCCACGTAAATGCTAAGATGGTTAATAATTTGCACAAACATCAATCATCGAGATCACTTTCAGACTTCCCAGCGGCCATGCTGGAAGCCTAGTCGAAGCTGTACACAAGAACACATGAACACGTGAATCTGCCTTCATCTACCTAGGCCGGTCTTGTCTACTCTGACTGGCAGCCACTCCCTGGGGTCTCAGGCAGAGATCTTTCACATCCCCTGATGCTTGTATCTGAAGAAGCGAGCAGTGACTCACAAAAGCTCCTACCCGGCCACAATTTTTGTTAGTCTTTAAGCTGCTGCTGGACTTTGGCTTTTTTCTACTGCTACAGACAGACTAACATGGCTACCCATCTTGATCTTGCTCGATCCTGTTTAGCTGGAGATGCCGGGGATCAAACCTGGGACATTCTGCACACAAAGCAGGTGCTCTGCTGCTCAGCTTCAGCCCCTGGCCATGAAACTAGGGTTGCCAAGTCCATCTTCCACCCGCAGCGGGGGACTTTGGGGGTGTTCCTGGAGGGGGCGGGGCATCCCTGACGTGATGACGTCACATTGGGGACGTCCGCCCTCCCCGCCCCGCACCGGATCTCCAGAAACGCAGTTCCCCGCACTTAAAGGAGCCAGCGTTTCCTTTTTAAATGCAGGAGCCGCCGTTTCCCCTTTAAGAGCAGCCGCGTTTCCCTTTTAAGAGCACGAAGCTGGCATTTCCCTGCAAACCTGATCTCAAGCAGAGATCGGGCTTGGGAAGAAACACAGGTTCCACACACCTAAAAGGAGAGAGAGGGCTGGCTGTGGGTGTTGGGGGTGGGGCTTCCCTGCCGGCCATTTGGCCGGCGGCGGATAGAACCCCCCCAAAAAACCCTACATGAAACTGAGTTAATATATTAATTTTTTTTTTAGGAAAGCAGCAACACAGGAAGGGCAGCCCTGTAGGGGAAGATAACATGAACAGGCTTCTCCCTGGTTTTTCTGCTCTTGCAAGTCTCTGCCATGGCTGCGTGGGGAACAACCCTTGGCTCGGAGGTGCGCTACCCAGCAATCACAGCCAGGAAGCACCTGGTCTCCTTGTTCCCTTGTTGGCTGCGAGGGGCTTTTTTGACTGTCGGGGAGGTGGCAAGTATGTGGCTCTGGGTCCTTCACGGCAGAAGTGAAAGATGAGAGTGCCGGAGGAAGCAAGAATGCAAAACATCCTCATCTCCCGAGTCCTTATAAATTACTTTCACTCTTGGCACAATGGCTGTGTTTCAATATTTGATCATTTGAGAGGTTATGATGAGATAATATGTTATGATACACTTGGCAGCTGGGGGAGGGAATTGTTTGGCTGGTCTGTGGGAAACTGCTTCACTGCCCGCAGTAGGGATGCCAGCCTCCAGGTGGGGCCTGGGGATCCCTCAAATTACAGCTCATCTCCAGACGACAGAGATCAGTTCCCCTGGAGAATGCTTTGGAGGGTGGTCTCTATTGGCACTGTACCCCACTGAGGTCCCTGTCCTCCCCAGGCTCCATCCCCAAATCTCCGGGAGGCCCTTCCTGCCGTTTTTCCATTTTTTGGCGTTCCCCTGTCTCAGAGCTTGAAGAGCTCCCTCGTCGCTGCCCTCGCCGCCTCTTGCCTTCTGCTGCCGCCTCCGACACAGGAAAAAGGGAAGTGAAACGTGTCGTATGTCCGCTATCCAGAACCTCCACTCCTTCGACACCTTTGCTGATGCAACTAAGGGTGACAACTTACTTCCTGCTGGGACTGAGGACTACATCCATATAAGGATGTAGAGCAGGTCGAGAAAAAGGTACTTTTCTCCCTTTCGCACAATACAAGAACTCGTGGGCACTCCATGAAATTGCTGAGCAGTCGGGTTAGAACAGATAAAAGGAAGTACTTCTTCACCCAGAGCGATGAACACATGGAATTCACTGCCACGGGAGGTGGCGGCGGCTACAAGCATGGATGGCTTCAAGAGGGAACTGGATAAACATATGGAGCAGAGGTCCATCAGTGGCTATTAGCCACAAGGTATGGATAGGGACTCTGGGGCAAGTGATGCTCTGTCTTCTTGGTGCTTGGGGGGTCAACAGTGGAAGAGCCTCTAGTGTCCTGGCCCCACTGCTGGACCTCCTGATGGCACCTGGTATTTTTGGCCACTGTGTGACACAGAGTGTTGGACTGGATGGGCCTTTGGCCTGATCCAACATTGGCATCTCTTATGTTCTTATGTAAGTATCCAGCAAAGAAATGGCAGAAAAACCCTCACCACTGTCCAGGGCATAGCCGATGATTATGATAGAAAGAAATTGGTGAAGGCCTTCAAGAAGAAGTTTGCCTGTAATGGTCCTGTGATTGAGCATCCAGAGTAGAAGAAGAAGGAGGAGGAGGAGAAGAAGAAGAAGAAGAAGGAGAAGAAGAAGGAGAAGAAGAAGAAGGAGAAGAAGAAGAAGAAGAAGAAGAAGAAGAAGAAGAAGAAGAAGAAGAAGAAGAAGAAGAAGAAGAAGAAGAAGAAGAAGAAGAAGGAGAAGAAGAAGGAGAAGAAGGAGAAGAAGAAGAGATTGGATTTATACCCCGCCCTTCACTACCCAAAGGCATCTCAGAGCAGCTTACAAACTCCTTTTCCCTTCCCCTCCCCACCACAGACACCCTGTGAGGTGGGGTGGGGCTGAGAGAGCTCTTGACAGAAACTGCTCTTTTTCAAGGACAGCTCTTATCAGAACTACGGCTTGCCCAAGGTCGTCCAGCCAGGTGCAAGTGGAGGAGTGGGGAATCAAACCCGGTTCTCCCAGATTGGAGTCTGCGCACTTAACCACGACACCAAACTGGCTCTCATTTATGGAGTACGGAGAAGTGATTCAGCTTCAGGAGGACCAGGCAGGGCTGGCTCGAGGGGTTTCTACGCCCTAGGCGAGGCTGCCTTACGGCACAGATGCCAACCTCCCGGTGGGGCCTGGAGACCTCTGGAGCCAACCACCCTTTTGCTGTCACCACCACCGCCTCCTCCCCCCGCCACCATTACCAAAGGGGGGAGGCACAGCTTGGCGCCCCATCCAGGGCCCAGCACTCTAGGCGAATGCCTAGTTCGCCTAGTGGGTGAGCCGGCCCTGGGACCAGGGTAAGAACATATGTCTCATTGAGACTGGACCGGCTAAAGACGACCAGCTGAAGGTCCATGGGTGTTAAGTATCAGTGGGTCACTGAAGTCTCAAGGGAGAAGGCTTCCCCGCGATGAGAAACCTTTGTGTCCCATGTCACTGGTCTAAAGATAAGCCAGCTTCTATCATGTAATCCCATCAGGTTCCCTTTAGTCCGGACTAGTGTAACTCAGCAATGTAATAAACTGACAAGAGCCCATGTTGTTTCGTCTTGGCTGTCCCTCATTTAAACACCGGCCCTGTCGTGGTGGTGTCAAGCCCAGAAGCTTTTTCTACATGCGAAATTCCAAGTAGGGCAATGGATGTTCTGGCTGTGTCAGGAGCTGCCCCAAATGTTCAAACCCCGCCTTGTTCCATAGGCAGCTGAGGCTGAGACCTAGAGATTCCCGTCGTTGTCCCGAGGGGAACTGTGACGCTAAATGGCAGCGGCCAGGGCTGGGTTATGAGTTATGCCGCCTTCTAGCTGAAGAAGTCGTCGGGGATGCAGAAACCAAAAACCCCTTTATGCAGAGACGGGCACCCAATTTGCAGAGGCACGGCACCTTTTGCAGGGCACCTTGATGCAGAGATAGGCACTGAAGTGGCCAAACCCAAAGACACAGCAGTTAGCAGACTCGGGATCTGTGGCTTGGAGTTAAGATGAGGGAGGTGTTTTAAACTGGCGTCGTCAGGCACGTCACAGGGAAGTGACGTAAGCACGTCGGGGATGTTGGGGGCGGGGCCACAATAATCCGAGGAAAAACTCTATGATTGTGGCCCCGCCCCCAACGTCCCCGACGTGCTTACGTCACTTCCCTGTGACGTGCCTGCGGTGCGCGCGCGTGAAGACTCCCGGAGCGAGCCTGGACTCCCCCGCTCCGGGACAGGTAAGGACTTGGCAACCCTAGTATTTAAACACTTATTTAAATAAATTTTAAAAATCTCCAGGAGTTTCCCAACCTGGACTATATGGCATTGTACCCCACTGAGGTCCCTGTCCTTCCTGAGCCCCGTCCCCAAATCTCCGGGAGTTTCCCAACCTGGATCTGGTACCCCTCCCCTCCCATCTCTCGCTGGCGGCCAGGGGGGGACTTGGCAACTCTAGCCCACACTGACAGAATGACGATATTCTGACCCTAACCTGTTTCCCTCCTGAAATGTTCATCATTTTGTAGAGAGTCGTCTTTCATTTTTCTTTAACTAGCTGTCTGCTGTTCTCAGTGCTCCAACTGCAGTGAGCATACCTGGTCCTCAACAGGCCATCGCTTTTCTTAAAAGAGGACAAACTAACGTTTTCTGCTTACCAGGGGAATTCTCTAAGCTTATAGCAACCCTTCTCCTTTCTGCAGGTACCCATGCTAGCTGCCTTTGTAACAGGTGCTTGCTGGTGATGTATGCTGCAAGAGGGAATGACTGAAATACTATATCGCTGCACCCAGCTGTATTTATATTGGGTTGATTTGTCAATAACCTTCTTATGCAGAAGTAGAGAGCTTTCTGTATCTGGTTACCTTTAAAAGCAGCTGGTACTTGGTAATTCTCTGGACCGGCTTTAAGAGATAAGCATCCAGCGAGAGCTTATGGTCTAGTTTCCGCTGACATTCCTGGAAAACAGAAAGGGGGAAATGGGATAGAAATCCTGCATAGTCTTTCAAAGAGAGCACCACTGGAGTGAGTTACGACTGAATATTTTTTGGAAATATCCTGTAGTTAGGGTTGTCAACCTCCAGGTGGCCAAACGTAAAGAAACACCGTGTTAGAACAAAACACACTCTACTAATATGCACTTGTGTCTTCATATATTGATTTAAATACAATAGAGACCCTAGTGTATCTTATACACTATATCTTATACATATTCAGTTTGAGAGCCAGTTTGGTGTAGTGGTTAAGTGCGCAGACTCTAATCTGGGAGAACCGGGTTTGATTCCCCACTCCTCCACTTGCACCTGCTGATGTGACCCTGGGTCAGTCACAAGCTCTGGCACAGCTGTCCTTGAAAAAGAGCAGTTTGTGTCAGAGTTCTCTCAGCCCCACCCACCTCACAGGGTGTCTGTTGTGGGGAGGGGAAGGGAAAGGAGTTTGTAAGCCACTCTGAGACTCCAAGTGAAGGGCGGGGTATAAATCCAATCTCTTCTTCTTCTATTCATTATAATACAAAAACCTAAAGAACATTATATATCTACTAACAGAAAAGTCCACAGCTACAGAGACCTATTCCAATGCTGTAGACTATCTTGCTCCTGATAAGAGATTGCTGAAGGTTGCAACAGTCGTAAATTATGAGAGATGCAGCAGCTGTTATGTTCTCCACAAAAAGTGATTCAGCAAGCATCAACACAAGCAACCCGCCTCCCAGGCAAAAACTGCATGTTTCAACAGATTCTTCTTCAGGCAGACATATTTTTCCTGGAACCAAAGCTCACAATGCCACAGTGTACAAGTCAACAATTCTACAGAAGGCTTCTATAGGCTTCTGTAGAATTGTTGACTTTTGCACCTCTGGATTTTGAACTTTTGTTGCGGCACAA